CGATCTAGTGTATTTTACAAGACTTTCTAAAGAGCGTGTCTTATTTGGCAACCGTTGCGATCGAGTGTGATTTGGCACGAGAATTTGACTTTGAGGAACTCATCGCGCATTTTGATTCACTGAAAGTTCGAAAAATCCACTTTGAAGCTGCTCTGGAATTGGTTTTAGTCTTCATACTTTTTTCAATAAAATATCAATTCATAATTTTGCTCTCTACTTTTTGTAAAGAATCCCCCCCACTAAATCCCCGAAGGTATTTTCTTGACGCCACTCGAGTTTCGAGGCCCGGCACATTTGTGCCGGCTATCCCCTCTCTCGCCGTCACTGGACTGCCCGAATGTATCCCATCAGACATAGGCTTCATCAAAAGAGCGTAACACATTGTCTTCATTGTGTGACATATTACTTTTTTAAGCATTTCACCGCAAGCAAGGTGGAGGAGTAACTAGCACTCAAGGGGATACAAAGAGTGGGAGCAAAAGTAAAGAGGGATGTTTAAAGAAACTATAAAGAGAAGTACGGAGAACAAGATCAAGGTATCAGATGTCGATTGACATTACATTTGAATATTTGAAGATTATAGTTATCAGGGAAGCAAGTAAGGGGAAGGGAGTTCCACTGTCGGGAAGTGCTAGAGAAGAAGCCGTTGGAGTAGAAGAAGCGGTTACATTTAACTGTTTCCACAGTAAAAGGATGCCAACCTAGTATCACGCTTAAATTCATTCAGTCAGGGCACCAGTGAAAATAGTTCGTCAGAGCAAATGCCATGAAACCGTTTATAGAAAAGACAGAGGGAAGTCACATTACGTCGATCAGAAAGTGTCACGTTCGTTCCCCCGGCCGACTGAACCTTAGCACACATTCACATACACACACGTGTATCTCACACAGGCTTGTATCACACATACAAGTACATTCTTAATATCTTAGTTTTAAATATCTTTTCCTTTTCTGACAATTATGTGAGCATTAATGTTATTTATTTGTGTTAAGAACTGCATTAATTAATTGTTTGTTTTAAATTCCATGTTTTGTGTTTTATTTTTAAAACTTGGGGCACTCGTGTGCTCATGAAATCTGCCAAATATTGTTTGCGGGAGAAATGTACCAGGAGTCATCAAATATTTACTGAAAAACGTCCACACCTCGCAACAAAAGTGGCGAGTCCCTTAACAAAAGAACTGTCCATTTATATTGACGACTAGCTTAAAAGTCACCTTATTGCGCGGTATTTAAACTAACTCCTGCGGAGGACTCTTGATTGGGCCTTCGGTTTGTTCAGGAGTTTGAGAGTCCCTAAGTCTTTGCATATTCTCAGCATTAGAAGCTCTCCTGGCTGCCGTTTGATCTGGGTTCTCATTTGCACGGGACTTTCTTTTCCTCGCTGCAGCCTTAACTCTTTTGATTGCAATCTGGTCCTCTGTTGACGGACATTTCTTTTTGTGAGGCATACTTTTGCCGTATGCGATAGGCAACAATAAACTACAGAAGAACTTAAAATTGACCACTGCATTTAAGTATTGCATTAATATTTAAGCTTACCTTTTAAAAGTTCAGCGATAATTCTTCTGCGGCCACTTATTTTAAAGACAATTTGATGTGCGTAAGTCCTTTCTTTCCGTACAAACAACTATTTTTATTTCATGGCTGACTTTCGCAAATAATTTCGGTTATTCCCAAATTTCTTTCCAAGTTATAAAAATTATTATCGTAGAAAAAAATTTCAAAAGATGTATTGCTGGTAATAATTTTTTGTTATTGTTACAACTTGCGGTGTTGGATCAAATCTTGATGATGAATTTCGTTTTCTCCTATACAAAATTTGTCCTAACCGATCCATTTACCGAAGGCATTAGAAGTGTTTAGTATTTTCTAATTTACCATCGTGAATTCTTATGAAACATTCAGCAACAAATCCGGTGAGGAGACACAGACTTGTTTTATGTTCATTTCTATTTTGGAGCACTTTTTCAATTCATTTTCTATTATATAGAGGCTGTAGACGTATTTGGATAACTAAGGACACATTCCAAAAGCTGAACAGAGTATTACGAGACAGGAAGATTTCTTTGGTAACAAAGAAAAGAGTACTGAGATGCTACGTGACATCTGTCCTCCTGAATGAATGTTGGACGGTCTCCTCAAATAGAGATATGCCTCTACAGAAGGGTGCTAAGGATACATATAGGTATTTTTTTAAGTGTTTCACCCCAAGCAAAGCGGGAAGCCACTAGCACGCAAGGGGTTACAGAGAGTTGGAGTGAGAGCAAATAGGAGTGATAGAGGAAAGGATGAAGAGAAGGATACGGGATAGATCAAGGCATCTGGAGACGTCGATTGACATTACATTTGAATAGTTGGAGATTATAGCTATCAGGGAAACAGGAAAGGGGGTGGGGAATTCCACAGGCGAGAAGTGCGAGACATGAAGCTATTGGAGTAGAAGAGACGACTACATTTAATAGTTTCGACAGTGAAAGGTTGAGAACGAGATGCCAGCCTAGTAGAACGCTTAAATTCATGAAGTCTGGGGATCATCGGAAGCAGCTCATCGGGGCGGTTAACGTGAAAGTATTTGTAGAAAAGACAGAGGGAGGCGACGGCACGTCTGTGAGATATCATGGACCGAGCATGTGAGCAACGATGAGGATGATGTCTTAGTTATGTTACAAACAACAGGAAGAGACAGCTGGAGTTTCTGGAACATATAATGAGGAAGGAGGGCCTGGAGAATCTGACACTCACGGGTCGAACAGAGGGGAAAGAGAGACAAGGGAAAGCAGCGCGTGACATACCTGGCGAGCTAGAGCAATTGGATGACAGAACGTGGTCTGGGGGAGGTAGCAGAGGGAAAGAACTTGTTGAGAGCTGCAAAGGATAGAGGGAGGTGGAGAGTCATGATCACACACGTCCTAAAAGGAGATGGCACATAAAAAGAAAGAAAGAAATGTTTTGAATTATGCATGGTGCGGCAGAAATACCTCCGACATTTTAAACTGTCACCTTTCGTGATGCTAATGATGTTAAGCAAGTGATAATGGTGTCTTCATGTAGCTAGTGACGTACAATTTCTCTGCAGATCCCATCAGCTATTATCATGGTACAGACAGGGCCACACAGTGCGTTTGCTCTTGAAACGTTGTTTTTTTTTTTTTTAACTAGTGTTATCTATAATTGTAACACAGCTTATCTTGTTCATTTCATGTTACATCGGAATGATGCTCTTCTGGATAGAAAATCGATATTGCTACGGGTTGAACATTTCAAGGCCACGGGGTTTAGTGCTTAAAAGAAAGCCACCTGGTACACTAAAACGCGCTCGAACTTCGGGGTGATGGAAAACTTTAAAAATCGTCTACAAAAGTGTATGATAAATAGATATCATTTTAAAAATGAAAATGAATAAAAACTGTAGACATTGTTTTAACAACAGTGAAATAAATTTATTTTATAGCCAGAATATGTTTCACATCAGATTAATTAAAAATCATCTAATATCATGCAAATAAATTTTCAGAAAAGTATATTTTATTTTTGAAAGATGTTTAATAAAGACCATATATTGACAGATTTGTCAATATTGTTGATTTTAGCAATTTTAACGATTTCTAAAAAACATTCCAATCAAATTGCACTCGGTTTGAAATATAGCAAAGTATTTTGCTTATTGGAAATGTTAAATTTAATCTCTTAGCTTGAAATTAAATCTAAAATAAAAGTTTCAATATAGATTTTTCACTTTTAAAAATGCATTTTAAACCTTAAGTACTGCTTTTCTTTAGAGGTGCCGATATGGTGCAGCAGAAATACCTCCCACATTTTAAACTCTCACCAGTTTGGTGCTAATGAATTTTGTCAAGTGGCAATAATGTCTTCATCTAGCTAATGTCATACTATTTTTGCTCCAATACCAGCAATTACCATCATGGCTTAGACCGGTGTACACGGTGTATTTGCTTTTGAAACGTTTTTTTTTTAAACTGGTGAATCTGTAATTGCAACACAGGGAGTTTTTTTTTTTTTTTTGCTCATTTCATATTATGTCGGAATGATGGTGTTCCGAATATTAAACCGATATTGCTATGGGTTGACATTTTCAGGGCCACAGGTTCAGTGCTTAAAAAGAAAACCACCTGAAAGACCTCGAAACGCTCGAAGTTCCGGGTGATGGAAAACTTTAAAAATCGTTTACAACAATGTATGGAAAATAGTCATTTCATTTTAAACAAAAATAAACTTTTAAGTTTTTTTGTTTTTTTTTTATTCCTTTTATTCCTTTTTAAAAAATTTATAATTACTGTCTATGCTTTTTGACAAAATTTATGGTAAGTGTCTTTAAAAGCTTCAAAAAATTATCAGAGGTACGCAATTATCCAGGGACGCATTTGTCTAGGGACGCAAATGTCCAGAGGCACAATTGTCTGATACGCCATTGTCCGGGACGCAATGTCCTGAACGCAACTGTCCTATAACCAGAAATATCTACTGTTATGGCTTACTAAATATATATGTGCAGTCTCTATAGCTGCAGCCATTTATCGAAACATTAAAAAGAAAAGAAAATGGCGGCTAGGGAGCAGTCGGAAGAACGCAAATAAAACGTTTGTGCTTCAAACAGAAAAATACAAACACAGTTTACAGATATGTTACGGCCTTCTTTTGGGTGTATTCAGTGGAAGAAATGGACAAACGACACAAGGTAAAAAAGACTTGTGATTAATTTGACTGCTTCGTTTTCTACGACTTATCGACCCTTTGCAGTTTATTTAAAGCCAAAAAATATTTTTAAATTGTAAGAATTTTTTCTGTATATATACATGCTTTTAATGATAGAAGTCTTGCTAATTAACACGTAGCTGGGGGATATGAGGTGGATTCATACCTTTCTCAAGAATATTTGCACGTAAGTGAATTTAAAAAAAACCCAACGGGAATTGGAACTCCGATCTCCGATTAACAACCCCGAGCCATTATCCATTACATCATTCGCACATCTAAGTTTACAGCACCTGGTATTACCCAGCGGTCACCCATCTAGGTACTGATCAGACACGACTTTGCTTAACTTTAGTGATCATACGGGAACCGGTGTTTCGATATGATATGGCCGTAAGCATAATACTGATGTCAAATATGCCCCACGCATGGAAGGTGTAATGAGAGCAATAAACCCTCTCGGATTGAATACATGTTCCGGTTCGAAATTCAAAGTAGATTACCAAGTACGAAAACAGACTCCTGAAGAAGGCCGGTGGGCACAACAATCGAAACCTTGTGAGTGTAAAAATCATGATAAAGCATATAACAGTGTAAAATCTTTATTTAAAACATCCAGGCGAACATTGTCAACCACCATCTTGAATTCCCGAGATGAGGAGCTATCATTATTTACATTATTTACATTCAGACTAGTGTCCTCATTTTTGCTGTTGTTGTTATCCCAACGTTCCGAGCGTTGTGCCCTCCGGCCTTCATCAGGTGTAGATCGATCCGGCTAACCTACAGTGAATTTCGAACTGAAGCCTTTATTCTCGTTCCATTGCACATATCTATGGATATATAGTCTAGTACTTATTTTTCGTACTGCTCAGTTATTACTCATCCTGTTTCCGCTGAATCCAAACTTCCCGGCTCAGGGATTGAACTCATAATTACTGTCACCCGGTTCACGAACCACTGCTTTAATCCGCTACACTATTGTCCCCTGGCCCAGGCAGAGGGTATTTGGACTCATGGGAACAGGGCGATCAATAAGTGGACAGTGCTAAAAATAAGAACTGGACGAGATATCCCTAGACATTGGCAGCAGCATTAGTTCAGTCTACCTACCAACTCCACAAAAAAAGAAAATTAAATAAGGGTTTGGTACGTTTCGGCGTCGCCCATTTGGCGTTGCTGATTTGGCGTCAAAAAATATTTGGACTATTCAGCACAGCCGTTTAGGCGTCAGACTGTTTCGACGTCACTGTCTTTGATCGGAAAAAAAGAATAAAAGCATTGAAAACATCCAACTTTCAATATGACTTTTTATTCATTTACGAAATTAAGGATCCTATTAGAACACTAATGGAATAATGTAAATTAAAAACTTAAATTAAAAATATTGTACTTCAAAAAAATAATTAAAAAAACTTAGTAAAGCTATTTAATCTTAGAAATGACTTCTTCATTTCGTAATTATGAGCAACACCCTTCAGGAATTCAATAGGATCTAATGATTCAAATTCCATTATGACTTTTTTTGATTCGTTCATCAGCATCTTAATATTTTTTTATTTTTTTATTTTTTTTTTAGCTTTCTGTGGGGTGGATATCGAGCGATGAACTTTTTGAGAAATGCATCACTCGTTATCTTAGATATAAAAATGCCTCCGACTACTCCTTTTCTTAAATTGGACTATTCGAGCATATAAGGACGAAGTACTAATTTGACTACTAAACGAGAAAGAGAGGGTGAGAGAGAGAAGAAGAGGGAGGGAGGGGGAGAAAGATGGAGGGAGAAAGAGGGAGGGGGGGAGGAGAGAAATAGGGAGGGAGAGGAAGTGGGAGGGGAGAGGAAGAGAGGGGGAGAAGAAGAGGGAGGGAGAGGAAGAGGGAGGAGAGAAAGGGGGAGAGGAGAGGGAAGAGAGAGGGAGAGAGGGAGGGAGGGAGGGAGAGAAAGAGGGAGGGGAGAAGAAGAAAGAGGGAGGGGAGAGGAAGAGAGAGGGGAGAGGAGGAGAGAGAAGAGGGGAGGGAGAGAAAGAGGGGAGAGAAAGAGGGAGGGGAGGTGAGAGGAAGAGGGGAGAGGGAGGGAGAGGAGAGGAGGAGGGAGAGAGAGAGAGAGGAAGAGAGGAGGAGAGAGGAAGAGGGAGGGAGAGAAAGAGGGAGGGAGGTGAGAGGAAGAGGGAGGAGAGGAAGAGGGAGGTAGGGGAGAGGAAGAGGGAGGGGAGAGAAAGAGTCAGGGAGAGTAAGAGGGAGAGAGAGAGTAAGAAGGAGAGAGTAAGAGGGAGGGACGGAGGGAGGGGGAGAGAGAGAAAGCAAATTTGACTATAACGACGTAGTAGTAATCTGAACACCTAATCGTCCCTCTGCCGAAATCTTCCTATGTTGAATCGGCCATACCGAATCAGCGACGCCAAATGGACTCCTCCTTTAAATAAAGGGTTCAGTTCGGAATTCATCAACTAAGATTAAGATAATAATGTAAATATTGAGTGATATTGTTCGCTAATTTCTGTCAGAATTTCTGAGGACGAGGATTATTTACACTATTTATATTTGAACTATTGTCCCCATCTTTGTTGTTCTTATCACAATGTTTCGACCGTTGTTCGTGTTGATATCTTAAATATTGAACCCTATGAATTCTAATCAACGATACGCCTGTTCAGTTGTACAGTATTCAAGACAATGTTGATAATTGGATACAATTCTTGTTGCTTTCCTGAAAATATAGACGCTCCAAATAATTCCTATCTTCTTTTCTTTTTATTATTTCGTTTAAAATTTGAATTGAGTAAAAAAATAAATTGTCCTTGCCTCTCCGGTTGAGCTATAAAGTTGAAGTGCTTCCGGTGTTTCCCCGCCTTAATGGAATCAATAAATAAGGTAATTCTTTCGGGTTTTGTGTGTGTTTTTTTTTTTTTTTTTTTTTTTTTTAGGTTATCTACACCACTACTGCCGATAGCAAATCTTCTATTTCAAAGAACTGTTACATTAGCGATGTTCGTTCTGCGATTCATCCGGAAAAATGTTTTCATAAAAGCCATTAAGATAATTAAGCAATTTAGTCCGTTTTCTTTTCTTTTCTTTCTTTTTTTAATGCATTTTCTTTCTTTTTTTTTTTTTTTTTTCCTTTCTTCTCTTGTATTTTTCGTTACAAAACAGAACTGAATGAATAATCATCAAATTGGACGATTTCTTTTTTTTTACTCTTCTTTTTCTTTTTACTTTTGAATTTTTTTTTTTTTCCAGGAAGAATGAACGTTATCATGCAAAAATCTAAAATGAGAAAAATTAAAATCTAATATTCGATTTATTTTTCGTCAAACATCATAAAACTCGTTTCATTTCAGTCTATGACAATTGTAATTTCTTACAATTTGCATTAAGCCCTGGCGTTGACTAGCGTTGAGTGGAACTTTTCAATTCCTTCTTTTGTACTTTGCGCTGTCGGTGCATGAACAACTAGGATGGATATGTTGAAAGGCTTTCCTTTCAGTTTAACGACAAGAATTCTTTCAGATATTTGACAGTATCCCAGAATGCATTTCTCCATGTCTTGATCTAGTATCAATCCTACTCCTCTTTCATTTTTCTCTCCGCCTTTATATGTGATCCTGTGTTTGTCACTGACAAAATCTGTATTGTTTGCCAAACTCGTTTTACATAAGCCTAAAATATTAACAATTAACCTGCCGATCTTGGGGTAAACGAAATAGGCGCTCAAGACCATCGGAAAATAAAACGGGCAAATTCTACTAATAACTTACACACACACAAAACACACACACACACACACACACACACACACACACACACACACACACATATATATATATATATATATATATATATATAAACACACACACACATATATATATATATATATATATGTGTGTGTGTATATGTGTGTATGTATGTATTTACACAAAAAAAATGTTGAAAAAATAAAACGTTACATTATCCAGAAAAATATTTTCATAAAAGCCATTAGGGTTATTAAGTAATATAGTCCGTTTTATTTATTTATTTATTTATTTATTTATTTTGACAGTTATTACTTATTTATTTATTTTGTCAGATATAATTTATTTATTTATTTATTATGAAACTTGTTTTATTTCAGTCCATAATTTCAATTTTAAAAATAAATCATTTTCTTATGAACTGAATTAGAACCTTACAAAAAATAAAATCCTCAAGATTAGACATACGGGAAAAAAAAATGGAATTGTCCTGCGTTATTGGTGACAACGAGGATACTGTGTAGGGTGCTGGAGATTAGAGGAAAGGTACTCAAGAACATGAAGATAAAGTTTCAGGATTCAGGGCTTTTACTTCAAAGGTTGTTTTAAGTGCAATCTGGCAACTCTATTGAAAAATTAATTCACATACACACAAAAAAAGTGCAAAAAAATAAAACGTTACCTTTCATAAAAGCCATTAGGTTAATTAAGTAATTTAGTCCAATATTTTTTTATTTGTTTATTTTTTTTTTTTTTTTTGTAATACATTTTCTTTCTTCTCTTTGATTTTTCATTCCAAAACAGAACCGAGTGAATAATCATCAAATTAAAAGATTTTGTTTTTTCTTTAATTTTTTTTTTTTTTTTACTCTTTTTTTGATTTTTTTTTTTGTTTTTTTTGAGTGGGCTTTCGTGAAGAATGAACATTATCTTGCAAAAATCCAAATTAAAAAAAATAAAGTCTAATATTCAGTTATTTTTTGTCAGATATCTTAAAACGCGTTTTATTTCAGTACATAATTTCAATTTTAAAAATAATTTGTTCTCTAATTACCTGGCTTAGAACCTTACAAACAAAAAAATTCATAAGATTAGACATCCAAGAAAAAAAAAAAGAAAACTGGAATTGTCCTAACGGCAGCGTTATTGGTGACAACAAATATACTGTGTAGGGTGCTGGAGATTTGAGGAAAATTACTTGTACTCAAATATTTGATGTATTTGCATGCTCACCTCAGGACAGATGCAAGGGTTCCTCGAACCTATGATACGAGGTCCCAACTCTACTACATCTCAATTTTCATAAGGTAGTATTCATATAAAATAGAAATTTTTTTGTAACCTAATTATGTACAATAATGGATCATATGTAATATAGGTGAACAATTCAGCTTGAAAAATTGAAAATAAATACCCTGTATCTAAATTAGAGACATGTCATAATAGATCATTCCATCTTAAATAAATCAACAATGTTTTGTAACAATTTTTAGCATCAACTTGAGATTTTTCTTGTTAAAATGTTGAATAATTCAACAATATAGATTAAAAAAAATAATGAATTTTATATAGTGTTTTTTGAAGACTTACCACAAGCAAAACAAATTTACGGATTTGGACGGAAAAAAGACCCCTGAGTGACGTGAAAATCTGCGAAAAATTTTCATCATTTTATATAGTCAGTTGTGATTAGTCAAAATTTTTAACGTATTTAAATGTAGGTAGAAAAAAGGAAATGTTGATAAAATAACGAGGGTCGCTAATGACGGTCCGGGATCCCCAATCAGACTCCAACCCTAACTCTATAATGTTTAAATCATTTATCTTAGAATTGAATAATTGTTATTAACCAATATTTTTGTCACATCTGTATTTTCAAGAGACTTTCGCTGTATACGAAATAATTTGATCTGATTAAGCTCTTTTCTCTACCATCAATTCATGTAATTTTAATATCCCAGCAAATGCAGTTATTATCTATCTATAAAATACAAGCAGGGTGCAAGAAAAATAAAAATTCGGCGCTTCATTAAATTTTTTGATTATATATTATTTTTATTTGAAACCATCAGAAAATAAACATTTTTTGAGATTTATTATCGAACTGTAAACATTTCTTATTTTCATTTTAAACATACACTGTATTCATCGACAAACCCCTGAGGAAGACCGGCGGGCACAACGGTCGAAACGTGGTGATGAAAACAAGAAAAGTGCAAGACAATGGACTACGTTAAATAATGTAAATAATTATAAGTTTTCGTCCCAGAAATTCAAACAATTATATATATATATATATATATATATATATATATATATATATATATATATATATATATTATATATATATATATATATATATATATAAAAAAATATGGATATAGATCCGACATATGAAGAAAAATATATACGGAAAAAAAAACAAACAAAAATGTTATTTGTTTGGATAAGTCTTGTTCTTATGTACATCGTCTTTGTCATGTTGTATTGATAATGTTATAATTTGTGAATATGTCCTGAAGATGGTTTATTAGACCGAAACGTCCGACGTTGACATATTAACATTAAAACAGCATAATTGTATATAAGGATTTTGTTTTTTTTTCCGTTTTTTTTTCGTATATACATATTATATATATATATATATATATATATATATATATATATATATATATATATATATATAATGGACTCTCCTGTCGGTTTCGGCGTATGAGGATCTGACAGCTTATTGATTCAGTTATGAAATTTTGTGCGATAATCTTAAGTGGCATTTAAGACCCGCTAGTGATTTACAAAGGAGTCCACATATGGAGCAAGTGTGAGGATTGTGAGATGATATATATATATATATATATATACGATAATTGTGTATTTGGGCAGCAACCCCTCTTTAAAGACGACTGACAGAAATCTACCAATAAAATACAAGCAGGGTGACGGAAAAAAATTCGGAGGGAGGTGCTTAATTAAAATACAAAAATACACAATTCATTGTAAACTAATCATGTACAATAAAGGATCATATGCAATACAGGTGAACAAATCAACTGGAAAATTTGAAAATAAATACACTGTATGTAAATACAAATTAGAGACATGTCATAATAGATCATTCCATCTTAAATGTATCAACAATGTTTTCCAGCATTTTTAAACATCAACTTGAGATTTTTCTTGTTAAATGGTTGAATAATTTTAACACATTCAACATTATGGATAAAAAATAGCGAATTTTATATAGTGTTTCTTCAAGACTTAAAATGAGAAAATTTTATATGGTCTTTCTTCAAGATTTAGCATGATCAAAACAAATTTACGGATTTGGACGAAAAAAAAAATGACCCCAGAATGACGTCAATATCAGCGAAGATTTTTCATCCTTTAATATCTATCTATATCAGTCTGTTCATTATCTATCTATCTATCTATCTATCTATCTATCTATCTATCTATCTATCTATCTATCTCGGTCTGTTAATTATCTATATATTTATCGATCTAACAAAATAAATCCAATGTATCTAAATACAAATTAGAGACATGTCATAATAGATCATTCCATCTTAGATAAATCAACAATATTTGTGCCAATTTTTAACATTCACTTGAGATTTTTTTTGTTAAAAAGTTGAATAATTTTAACACATTCAACATTATGGGTAAAAGATAGCGAATTTTATATAGTGTTTCTTCAAGACTTAAAATGAGAAAATGAGAAAAACAAATTGGACGAAAAAACAGACCCCAGAATTACGTCAAAATTGGTTTTGAAATCAGTAAATTTTCTCCTAAATGTTTAATCCTCTAATAGTTAATTGTGCTTGGTTTAATTTGTCCGTACTTATATAAATATAGGTAGAAAAAAAATCAACATTTTATTTATTGTCACAAAGCACTGCCCGAGGCCCCCAATAAGACTTGACCCCTCCTGGTCGTGTGATTCGGGGAGTAGTATAGCACCGGCTCTGGCTCACCTCATATATATATATATATATATATATATATATATATATATATATATATATATATATATATATATACTGAGAAAAAAACAAGAACAAAATCTATTCCATATCTGAGGATGCCTGTATGAACAGACGAAAGCTTGTAAAAATAAGAACTCATGCAACAGAAATTTATAGAAACAAGGATCTTTTCATTCATAAACAGGTTCGAATTTGAATTGTTCGCGACGATGGATTTCTCGCCAATTAAATCATTAACCTTTGTATTTGTTTTTGTATGAATAATTAATGAATATATATATATATATATATATATATATATATATATATATATATATATATATATATATATATATATATTGCTGGGGAGTTAATGACAGCAATCGCTCTTAAATCTCCAACAACTCCGTGAGTATTTTCGCAGACCCCACCATTACTGTGAGTTGAAATTTTTTTAATTCATTATCGAATATTTAATTAACTATTTAATCTTGATTCTAGTATTCCAACCTAGTACCAAGTGTGTCACTTATTATAGGCATGTTTTTAGCATTCATGCTTTTCGGCTTCCATATGCGTGTATTGTAAAGGTTGGCGACTCAGAAAGAGAAAATCAAGGATCCCAGTTCGAATTCCGGCTGAGTTCGTCAAGTTCACTTTCGTATAAATACACTTGGAAAATACACGAATCCGTTTCTTCTCCCAGATATGGATTAAATAACAGTTGTGACCAGCCTCTCTTGCCTCGGCAACCAGTCCAGGAGAAGGGATACCGAATTCAAAGCCAGCATGAAAAAGGATGACTTTTGTCAGGCTATGTTGCTCACCGCATGCCATTGTTGTACATATGGTGTCTCTACGAGCCTAATGGCGTGACGTGATGTTCCACAGCTTTTTCAGCTCCCGGACGATGTCCTTGCGTTTTCGTAATTTTTTTTTTCTTTCAGTCTACTGGAGTCGACCTTTTCTTTTTCCGTGTTGTCCTCATCGATAACAACAACAAGATTACTAAATCATTACGTCTACAACATTACACAATATTTAAAAGAATATCATTATTATTATTATTATTTTCTTTGATTTCTGGCGTTTACACGTTTCTTTCCGGGTCCCGCCCAGGGACCTAAGGTTAGAAATGGCGTCATGAGACTTTCCACTGACAAGAAAAAAAAAAAAATTAAATTACATAGATAAAGCCCTTCGTAAGGTGTGGGCTGTACTTGTCAGAACAATTTTTTGTATCTCCTTGAGGCATGGACTTCCAGGAATCCCTTCAATTAGTCTACTGCAATCTTTTCCAACCAGTCCTAGGGCTCCAACTACAACAGGGATTGTTGATGTTCCCATATGCCACATTTTCGAGATTTTTATTATTATCATTTTTATTATTATTATTATTAATATTATTATTATGCAATGTGGTTGGATCTGATCTGGCATCTTGTTTACAGTCGTTCACTCACAGACTTGCCGTCGCCTTTCTCTGTCTTTTCTACAAATATTTTCATGGCAACTGCTCTGACAAGCTACTTTCGCTAGTTCCCAAACTGCCTGAATTTAAATGTGCTACTAGGTCGGCATCTCAGTCCCACCCTTTCACTGTCGAAATGGTTAAATGTACCCGTCTCTTCTACTCCAATAGCTTCATGTCTCGCACTTCCTGTCTGTGGAACTCGCTTCCTCTTACTTTCTTCCCTGAAAGCTATAATCTCCAACTATTCAAATGCAATGTCAATTGACATCTCCAGTTGCCTTGATCTAATTCCCCGTCCTTCTCTTCATCCTTTACTGTCTCACGCCTCTTTACTCTTGCTCACACTTTCTGTAACCCCCTTGCGTGCTAGTGGCACTCCCGCCTTGCTTGGGGGTGAAAAGTTTAAAATATATATTTTTTTTTTTTAATTTTCATTATATTGTCTTTTTGTTATCATTATCAATCTCTTCTGCTTGACGCTGCGTGGAAGAAGCGTCCCCATACACCAAGATTTTTGTACTTATTAGCGATTTTCGATCGCGAATACTCTAACATCCTCTGCGAAGTCGGGCAAAAGACAAATATTAAAAAAAAAAAATTTTTTAAATAAAGCAATTAAAAAAATAATTTACATTTTTTTTTAATTCTAAAGTTGAGAAGGCCCTCGACAGAAGGCGTACTGATTTATAACAATCAAGCCAATTATGACTGATCATTCTAATGTAATTAACAGAGAATATTCACGTACTATTCTTGAGTAAGATTCAGCCGATAATTCAAGACGCTAATACTAATTATCTCATGGACTATCGAACAAAGAAGATACTTAAAATTAAAAACAACAGGGGAGGTGTTGCTTGGGAGACAGATCCCAGCAAGCAAACGTATATTTTGGGTTCCCGGCCACGGATGGATAGAAAAACTGGAGTGTGTGTGTGTGTGTGTGTGTGTGCTTCCCTCTGTCGCATTATTCGTGTCTCGCTTTGTCTGTCTCTGCTTCTGGTTCTGTCTGTGTGTCTCTGTCTGTGTATCTATGTCCATTTAAGCTCTTGTATCTGTCTATCCATGTCCCCGACTGTCTGTCTGTATCATTGTCTGTCTCTTTCTCTGTCTGTCTCTATATCTGTCTGTTTGTCTGTGTCTCTTGTTGTCTGTCTGTCTGTTGTCTGTGTCTCTGTTTATCTGTGTCTGTCTGTCAATCTGTGTCTCTGCCAGTATTTCTGTCTGTCTGTCAGTTTGTCTGTGTCTCTGTCAGTCTGCGTGCGTGTTTCTGTTTATCGCTTTCTGTCTTAGTCTTTGTTTCTATCTCTGTGTATCTGTCTCTATCTCTCTCTGCTCTGTCTATCTGTCTGTCTGTGCTTATGTGTCTGTATGTGTCACTGTCTGTTTCCAGCTTTATCTATCTACCTCTATGTCTCTATCTCTGTCTGTCTGTCAGTCTGTGTCTCGGTTTATCGCTACCTCTTTCTGTCTGAGTCTTTGTTTATTTCTAGCTCTCTGTCTCCGTTTGTCTGTCTGTCTGTCAATCTGTATCTCTGTCTCTCTCTGTCAATCTGTTTTCCTCTATCTCTGTCGGTCTGTCTATCAGTCTCTGTTTTTGTCTCTATGTCTGTGTCTCTGTTGTCTCTATCTCTGTCTATCTGTTTGGGCCTTGCTTTCTCTGTCTGTCTCTCTGTCTCTATCTTTGTCTATCTATCTATCTATCTATCTATCTATCTATCTATCTATCTATCTATCTATCTATCAATCTATCTATCTATTAATCAATCAATCAATCTATCTATCCATCAATCAATCTATCTATCTATCTATCTATCTAACCATCAATCTATCTATCCATCAATCTATCTATCTATCTATTAATCAATCAATCAATCTATCTATCTATCTATCTATCTAACCATCAATCTGTCTATCTATCCATCAATCTATCCATCTATCTATCTATCTAACCATCTATCTATCTATCTATCTATCTATCTATCTATCTATCTATCTATCTATTTCACCCGCTCGTCACCCTCATTGTTTAAATTAGCTACCGTCTGTAGAACGAATAAATGGAGTAGAAATTGTCAGGAAGAAAATGAACCAACTCTTTATTCAAATTTTGAAACCCATTGAAAAAGAAGCCAGTAAAGAAAAACCATTTTACAAAAGACGGACCAAAAAGAAAATAGAAATAACTTCAGACAACATCAAGATTTTAATTCAAAAATAGTTTTAGTGCAAAAAGGTTGAAGACAAAAGAAAAATATTTGCCCCGAAAACATTTAATTATAATCCGAATTTAATTAAATGATTAGATTTTTTTTTTTTAATAACATTGCATGATATTCGTAGCCTTTTGCTGAACATTGCTACCGAGAAAGTTGAATCTGATAAGCGTCGCCGAGTCATAATTTTAGATCATTTTTTATTTACGCGGATTTGTTTGATAATAAGAAAGTTAAACAACAAAGCGTACACTACAGATCACATTCACGCACACACACACTCACTCACGCACACACTCACTCACTCACTCACTCGCTCACTCTCTATCTATCTATCTATCTATCTATCTATCTATCTATCTATCTCAGTCTGTTCGTATCTATCTATCTATCTATCTATCTATCTATCTATCTATCTATCTCCACACACACCTACATGACGTATTGTTCAATTTTGCTTGTTATTTTTACAATACGTTTGCTTCTCCCCATCCTTCCCTAGATTTACAAGACATTCTTCCTTAAATTTACGTTACACTTGCTTTTCTTTTCCACTTCTTTTCTTTATACATTTACGATGAAGTCAGTTATGCGTGATACACGCTTAGGCGATCATGTATCTTTTCGATACATGACTGACGAGGCAAATCCCCCCACACACACAGTAGGTTGCCATTTCTTTCTGTGGTAGACCAGTTGCCATCCAAGGCTATAGAACCCGGTCTATCCTGCCATTTACCCATAGCTGGAGGGAGAAGAAGAGGATCCATACCTTTCTCAAGGGTATTATTAGCACGTAAGTGAATGTAATGGATTCGATTGGAATCCGAGCCGCTATCCATTACTCCGCCATGACTCCAACGATAAACTTTCTTTCTTCTTTTCTTGTATTCTCTTCTTCTTCTTTTCCTTCAATCTTACCGCCCCCCCATCCTTTCTATTACACTCAACGTTATGCACTTGATCATCGTGCATTTTTTTTATTTATTTATTTCTTAAGAATAATAACGTGGTGTTCGTTGTTTTGGGGGGGTTTTTTGTTGTTGTTTCTTTTTTTTAATAAAGCGTTGGATGGTCAGTTAATAGAATTAGCCTGATGATACCGTGAGGTCGAAACCAAGGTCGCGTAATCTATCTAACCTCCTAATTTATAAAGTTTAAAGCTCCACATGTTATTTTTACGTTTATTTTTTCACACCTGTATTGAGTACTTTTTATACTATTGCTTCCTGGTTTGATTCAACCTCTGACCATTAACCGTTCACACACATATATATATATATATATATATATATATATATATATATATATATATATATATATATATATATATATATATATATATATATATATATAGTGATTTTCAAGCGTAGCGTATTTGGCACAAGGCCGAAATTAAGGGGCACCTTATATATATATAGTTAACAAGCTTGGCTTTGCTAGAACAATTACGACTAAGTAGTGAGTTCGATCCTCACAGGGTTCCCCTAATTTTGGACTTGTGCCACATCTAAGCTGCTACGCTTGGAAAATCACTATATATATATATATATATATATATATATATATATATATATATATATATATATTACACAGCCTTGAGGTACCTCTCGCACCATATATATATGATGCGATGGGTACCTCAAGGCAATGTAATGGTTAACAAGTTTGTTTCATAGGACAATTACGACTGAGTAGGTTCCTCCTACTTTTGGAATTGTGCCACATCTAAGCTACGCTTGGGAAATCACTATATACACAGTGCGATGGGTAAATTGTCGCTCTTTATATTTTTAATTTCGCGCATGCGCGTTATTTTTTTTTTATTTTGGCGACTGCACAGCATAGTAGGGTCATTCGGGCACCGGCTGTGGGAAAAAGTTCACCATGACGCAATTCACTCCGCCAGAAATTTGGTGCTTGACATTCGCACCGGAACCTCCAATACGGACATTTCAGTGTGTTTGGGTGTCAATCTGAGGACAGTGCAGAGGATCGTAAAGAATTAGATGAGTCTAATGGTGATTACGAAGGTTTTTGAAATCACTAGTGATGGCGAATTTATACCTCGATGGATCTTACCACAGAGCCTCAGCCTCAACGTGAAGGCCTACATCAAGTGCCTTGAGAAGGTAGTGCTGTCCAGAGCCAAGCTACTGGAAAACCCATTATCTGGCAACAAGACTTTGTACCATGCCACACAAAAAGGAGAACCCAGTCATGGCTGCCAGACAACAATTTCTGCGACTACATCACCCCTTACATCTGGCCACCTAACTCCTCAGACTGCAACCCCCTTGGTTATTATGTGTGGGAGCGGAGTTATATACATATATATATATATATATATATATATATATATATATATATATATATATATATATATATATATATTAAGAAATGGACAAAGTCCGACAATTTATTATTTATATTATATATTTATATTGTTTATTATAAACAGAGCATTTAAATACTTGTATCTATAAAAAGAACATTAAACATAAAAAAAAAATGTCTTTAATAAATAAATTGTCGGATTTTGTCCATTTCTTAATATATGACGATCCTTTGTGGCCGAGCGGTCAAGGCACGTCAGCGTAAATGACGGTTCTGTATAGGATGCAGGTTCGAATCCTGTCAAAGGACGAGTATTTTCTATGAAAACTTCTCGGTAAATGTTATTTAATACTGTTTATTATAAACAGAGCATTTACTTAAATACTTGTATCTATAAAAAGAACGTTAAACATTAAAAAAATGTCTTTAATAAATATATGTGTGTGTGTGTGTGTGTGTGTGTGTGTGCATACGAGATCTGTCTGAAAAGTAACAGGACTAGGTGAGCTGT